TGTAAAGCTTTTATAAAAACCTGAAAGCAAAGCTTCTTTACCTGATTTTGGAGAAACGAACACACAAAGGACCACCACCGGGACGTTACTGCAAGGAAGTTTTATGTCTCTGCTCCATGCACTATTGCTATTGCGAAAACAGGCCTGGCGACCTTTCCTTTTGGATCGCGAATACAACAGACCAATATGAGAAGCTCAGGGTCTGTTTTGATTGGTGAACACGCTGCAGCAAAAGAGAACGTGTAAACAGAGAGAGAGAGAGAAGAGGAGAACAGAGAGCTTTTCTTTCGGTGGAGAAATTTTCCACTTTCTTATTTTCGTTCTACTTCTTTACATAGATTTTGTTTACATATATATAAAGACATAGGGATAAGATTACAACTCTAATCTTTATCCAATACCTAGGAAACCTATCCTAACTAGTATTCTTCTACAATTAGAACTCTATCTAACAATCCTACCAGATTAACAACTCACATTCTCCCCCTTAATCTGGACGAGATTCCAAGTCCCTTACTCCTAGCAGTTCTCGCATCTCGATGAACTTCACCCTTGCTAGTGCCTTCGTGAGAATATCTGCTCGTTGCTCGCTCGTGCTCACGAACTCCACTTTAATCTGTCCTCGCTCAACACACTCACGAATGAAGTGAAAACGTGTGTCGATATGCTTGCTTCTTCCATGGAAAACTGGATTTTTCATCAAGGCAATTGCGGACTTGTTATCGACAAAAAGTGTAACCGACTTGGGCTCACTCCCAATTAATTCGCTAATCAAACTCCTCAACCACAAGCCTTGGCACGCTGCTGCAGTTGTCGCCATAAATTCTGCCTCGCAGGATGATAATGCCACCGTCTTCTGCTTCTGTGATGTCCAAGTGACCAAACTGTCACCTAGATAAAATGCCATGCCGCCTGTGCTGCGCCTATCATCAACATCTCCCGCAAGGTCACTGTCAGTGAATCCCACCAACTCTTCATTGCCTCGACCTCGTTTGTACACCAATCCGTAGGACATAGTACCCTTCACGTACCTCAAAATATGCTTGACAACCTGTCTATGCAAAACTGTAGGGTGCTCCATGTACCTACTCACAATCCCCACGGCATATGTGATATCGGGTCGGGTGTGAGTTAGATACCTCAAAGATCCGATAATGCGTCTATACTCCGTCACGTCCACCGGTGTTCCTTCAGAATCCTTTCCAAGCTTTAGCTTTGTTTCCATAGGATATTGCGTCGAGTTGCAATCCATCATGCCGAACTGACCCAAAACCTTCTTCGCATAGGCCGCCTGCCTTAGTGCAATACAATCATCTCGCTGATCCACCTCGATGCCAAGATAATAAGAAAGTAAACCAAGGTCACTCATCTCGAACTCCTTCATCATTTGTTGCTTGAAAAACTTTATCTCATCCGCCCTCGAGCCCGTAACAATCAAGTCGTCTACGTACACGCCAACAATGAGTGTATCCCCTCTGTTACTCCTTGTGTATACCGCCTGCTCCTGAGTGCATCTTGCAAATCCGATGCCCTTCATGCACTTGTCGAGGCGCGTGTTCCATGCCCGAGGTGCTTGGCGTAGACCGTAGAGTGCCTTTGAAAGCTTGTAGACCTTGTGCTCTTGATTCTTCACAACGAACCCTTCAGGTTGAACCACATAAACTTCCTCCTGGAGATCACCATTTAGGAATGCCGACTTCACATCCAGATGGTGCACCTCCCACCCATTCTGTGCTGATATGGCGAGGATTATTCTGATGGTATCAAGCCTCGCCACAGGTGCAAACACCTCATCGAAGTCCACGCCTTGCTGCTGGACATACCCTTTTGCTACAAGTCTTGCTTTGTGCTTGAGAATGTTGCCTTCATTGTCTTTCTTCAGTTTGTATACCCATTTGAGACCAATGGGTTTGGAACCCCGCGGTAACTCCGTGAGTTTCCAAGTCTTGTTCTTCTCGATGGCCTCCATCTCCTTCTCCATCGCTGTCCTCCATTCTTGATCTGATGCAACCTCGAGATAGTTCGCAGGTTCTTCAGAGATCAGGAACAATTCCTCTGCAGGAAGGTCGATCACCTCCGTCTCCGCATAGATGTCCGCAAGAGATCGATAGCGTACAGGAGTCATAACTGCAGCTTCAGGGGGTCCGAACGCGTCCAAAACAGTGGGGTTCGCTGCCTCCGCTGCAGTTTCTGGACCAGCGAGCAAACTACCCCTGGTTCAGTTTCTGGACCTGCAGGAATTTTTGGACTGGTTCGGCCTGCTGCACCTACGGGTGTATGCGGACTGGTTCGGGCAGCAGGTGGCTGCCTCGCTTGGTGTGCCGGCTGTCCAGTCTCATCTCCGGTCAGCTCCGCGGCATCATGAGCTCCTGCAGGAGCTGTTCGACCAGCAGCAGCGCGACCAGCAGCAGCGCCCAGCTGCAGCGCGCTGGTTCGGCCAGCCAGAGGTTCCCCGCTTCGGGCCGCATTCTGTCTAGTTTGGAGGGCTAGAACTCCGCCGGCTGTTGTGGTCTCCCCTTCCGCTGTGAACTCCGTCCAGTTAGGTGATTTTTCGACTCCATTGGCGCTCCATTCCCATTCTTTTCCTTCCTCAAAAGCGACATCCCTACTGACCTGAATTCTGCCGTGATGAGGATCGTAAAGGCGATGCACTTTGCTTCCTTCCTCTACTCCAATGTACACCATTGGCGTGCTCTGGTCGTCGAGTTTCTTGTGCGAAGGACCTGCAATCTTCACATGCGCCATACATCCAAAAACTCTCAAGTGCTCTAGGTGGGGTTTCTTACCAAACCAAGCTTCGTAGGGAGTGTGATCGTACAACGCCTTGGTTGGTAGTCGGTTGAGGATGTACACCGCGTGCCTAACCGCTTCGCCCCACATGGTTCCAGGCATATGCATGCTCTTAAGTAGGCTCCTCGCCATGTCCATCACCGTGCGGTTACGCCTCTCCACTACACCGTTTTGTTGCGGGGTGTACGATGCAGTGAGATGACGCTTGATGCCGTAGTCTTCACAAAACTTGGTGAACTCCTTTGACAAGAACTCGCCACCACGATCCGTCCTCAATGTCTTCACCTTGTGGTCACATGCGTTTTCAACCACTGTTTTGAACTTCTTGAAGGTTTCACAAGCTTGACTCTTGGCCTTCAACATGTATACCCACATCCATCGGCTGAAATCATCAACGATAAGAAGGAAGTAGTTGTTCCCAGCAAGTGTAGATGGGGTGATAGGACCACATAGATCAGCATGTAGTAACTCCAGCGGCTTCTGAGCTCTGAAATTTGCTTGTGAAGGGAATGGCAGTCTTGCTTGCTTGGCGACGAGACATCCTTCGCATAATTGATTCGGGTGCAAGATCTTCGGCAACCCGAAAGCCATCCTCTTTTCAGTCATCATCTTGAGGGAGAAGAAATTTACATGCCCAAGGCGAGCATGCCATAGCCAAGCTGGATCGTTAATATTCGCCATCAAACACGCCGGCTTGCAAGTCTTTAACTCTATCCTGTACAATCGGTTAGTTGAACGTGTCACCCTCATCAAGAGAGCACCGTTCCTATCAAACACCCTCAGGAACTCGTCAGCAATAACAACCTTACTCCCATCTTCAGTCATCTGACCAAGGCTAATAATGTTAGATTTCAAACTTGGAATATAATATACCTCAGGTAGTAGCCTTTGATCGCCGTTGTTGCACTGAAAGAGGATAGAGCCTTTCCCCTTGATCTCTACCGCGGATCCATCACCAAACTTGACGGTTCCCTTGATGTTCTCGTCGAGCTCCTTGAACTTGTCTCGGTGGCCGGTCATGTGATTGCTAGCTCCGTTGTCGAGGTACCAAACGTCGTTGGCAACTTGTGCCTCCCCCGCTGTAAGTAAATCCGGCACCACCTTCTCCTCATTAAGCAAAATAGCACTTGACGATTCTTCTAACATAGCCATCATCAAGGTTGGCTCCTCGTCATATGCACGGGTGAGATGAGCCTCCTGTTCGTGGTTGCGGCGTTGCTTGTGACACTCCGACTGAAAGTGCCCGTATACTCCGCAATTGAAGCATTTAATTTTGGACTTGTCTCGACCACCGCTTGTGCTACTCTCCCCCTCCTGGCGAGCTGCACTCCCATGGCCGAAACCACCTCCTGGACGTCCTCCTCTGCCGCCGAAGCCGCCTCGGCCTGCCTGGCCGCCGTGCTCCCCTCCGCGGCCTGCATGGGCAGCGTGGTGCTGCTGCCGGTACTGCTGTCCGCCTCGGCCTCTTTGGCCACGGCCACGCCCACGACCGGCCCCGCGACCTCGTCCTCGACCGCTGCCATCATTGGTTGTAGGTGTTGAGAGGAAGCCTCCGCCGTTCTTCTTGCTCCTTGCTTGCCACTCCGCATGCGTCAACAATAGGTGATCATCGACGTTGTTTCGAAAAACACGTGCCCTCTCCTCGTGGGCTTTGAGACGCCCGATCGCCTCCTCGAGTGTCATGTCGTCGATGTCCCCGAACTGTTCAATCGTGGAGACGATGGTAAGGAATCTCTCCGGTACCGCCCGAAGTAGCTTTCTGACGACGTAGTTCTCCTCCATCTCGCCGCCTAAAGCCCGGATCTTGTTGACGACTCCTGTCAACTTCGTCGAAAAATCGTCGACGTTGTCATTCTCCTTCATCCGGAGAAGTTCGAACTCGGACTTCAAGGTCTGCACCTTCGCGTTCCTCACACGATCCGCTCCTAGGTGCATAGTTTTCAACGTCTCCCATGCCTCTTTTGCCGTTTGCTTCTCTGCGATCACCATCAAAGTCTCTTCAGGAATCCCCTGGTAGATGGCCGCCAACGCCATCTGATCCTTCCTGTGTTCCACGGACGCGCCTGCCGCGGGCTCAATGGCATCCCACACGTCTTGAGCCTTCATGTAGACTTTCATCTTGATCGCCCACGAAGCATAGTTGTCCCTCGATAACGTCGGGTATTGAAGAGTGAGCGAACCCACCTTGGTTGTCATCTTCTCCGAACTCGTCATCTCTTCAGATCTTGGTTGGTACTTAGGAATACACCGCTCTGATACCACTTGTTGGCTTTTGCAATAGGATCAGCCCAAGTATCAAAGTTGTAAGCTTTTATAAAAACCTGAAAGCAAAGCTTCTTTACCTGATTTTGGAGAAACCGAACACCAAAGAACCACACACGGGACTTTACTGCAGGAAGTTTTGTGTCTCTGCTCCTGCACTTGCTATTGGCCGAAAACAGAGCCTGGGACCTTTCCTTTTGGGACCGAACAACAGCCAATTGAGAGCTCAGGGTCTGTTTTGTTGGTGAACACAAAAGAGAACCTGTAAACAGAGAGAAGAGAGAACGAACAGAGGAGAGGCAGGAACTTTTCTGGAGTTTTCTTTTTATTTCACGTTCTAACAAAACTCATCAATTGTTTACATATATATAGGATTAAGATTACAACTCTAATCTTATCCAATAACTAGAAAACTCCTTACTAACTAGTATTCTATTCTAACTAGAATTCTATCTACTAACTAAGATTCAAACTACCAATCCGGACTGATTAACAACTCACAAGAGAGAGGTGAGGGTTGAAGTCTGGTAGAATGAAAAGAGAGGAGGGTGTCGGCGGATGGGGGCGGGGTTAGAGAAGTGAGGCGCGCGAGAAACGAGGTAGGAGAATGCGTGAACTGGGGATGATTTAGGGAGTAGGGTAGGGGAGAGAGAGAAAATGAGAGAGAGATGTTCCATAGGTGGGAGAGAAAACACAAGGAAAATACCCCTTTTAAAATAATATAAATAATAATAATAACAATAATGACTAACCAAATATTAGTTTAAAAGTCTTTACCGTAACAACTAAATCTATAATTAGTAATACTATTAAAATAAGTATAAAAATCATATTTTTAAATCATAAAATCCTAGAAAATTAGGGAAAATACAAATACTCTTTTGAAAATTAATATTTAATATTAAATACTAGAAAATTTTATTTAAAGCAGTATCAAAAATCACGGTCCTTACAGTACACTATCTCTACTTCCGAGACAATATAGATTGTCTCGGATTCCGAGATAGTGTAGATTGTCTCGGAAATTGTGAGACAACGCGACGTCTTTTTTGATGGTTTTCTTGAGTTTCGTGTAGACCACATGGCTCCATAACTGCTTGGGAACATCCATAAACACAGAGAGGCCATTACAAACTAAAAATACGCTCAAAACCTCTGAGAATCATAGCATTTAGCAGAATTGATGTCAGTTACAAAACTTCCTGGAATAATCCCTTCATCCGAGATAGTAAACACTGTCTCAGAAAAAAGAGTTGTCAGGTGAGGTTTGTTAACCTTCTTATTTTGATGATGATTTATAAATAATTTACATCTAATATTGTTTGTCTAGTGTTTGTGTTTTATACTTATTCTAGGCAAACAATATGTTGGTGGATGGATGGAATAGCGCTTCAACGACAATATCAAATGGAGGTTGGCGGAATTATGGAGTGAAGCTTATGCAATTCAAGTTCAAGATCCAAGTTCAGCTTCATCCGCATAGTGTACCAAGTCAAGCTTATTGAAGATTAAGATTGCTTGGGTATATTAGTTTAGATTTATATTATGTGTGTTCAATATTTTAAGCTCGATATCATATACACACACATTTTAGTTTTGGTTTCTATGTATATATAGTTTTATATATACATACAAGTTTTTAGTTTCTATGCATATATATATAGTTATATATATATACATAAATGTTTTTGGGTTTCCATGTTTATAAATATGAGATTACATATTTGTGTTTTAGAAAATATTGCATAGAATATGCATATTTGTGAAAATATTATGTTTCTAGTTTATAGACTTCATAACAACTTTTTATATCTTTTATTAAGTCTATAAGAATGTTTGAAAATGATTCAAGGTTGTGTTTATGTTAAAACATCAAATTTCATGTATATCAATTTTTCATGTTTTGGACATACTTACAAAATACATGATTTTTCATAATTGGGAAATGCAATTTGAAAAATTTCTTTGTTTACATATTTATCATAATATATACAAATATTTTCCCAAGTTTTACTATTTTTGGATTTGTTTTGTTATTTTCAATTGAATTTACAAAACCGTATTTTCTGCAGTTTTTTAGAAACTGTTTATCTGTGTTAAAATATTTATTTCTCTCAACTGGGAATTTATTTTTCAGATATTCTTTCTCTAACATGTCCATATACATATATAGAATATTCTCTCAAAATTTCATGATTTTTAGAGTTTTTTTACTATTTTTAATTGATTTTACAATGTCAGATACGTAAAATTTCAGAACTGTCAAAAACTGGAAACTGCCTGTGCATGTTTGCTACAGTGCGGTCGACCGCAAAGGTCGACTGTGCTACAGTGTGGTCGACCATGGCGGTCGACCAGATAGCAGTTTTTGAGTTTTGAGTTTTTTTTCTCACGGTCGACCGCGACGGTCGACCGCGACGGTCGACCGCCAATGTTACCGTTGCACAGTAACGGTAACTTGCTGATTTTTATCTTTTAGTGGTTTTTTTGGGTTTTTTGGATTATTTTCTTCTACCCTATATATATCCCATTATATTTATCATTTTATAGACAATGACAAAGTTTTAAACAAGTTTAAGAGGGTTTTATAGTTTGTTTTAAGTTTGGGGTTTGTGTTTACAAAGGAGGAAGCTTATGTTGTCAATTGAGGGATTCATCATTAATCTTCTTCATCCTCTCCTTTGTGTTTATAGAAAAGTTTTTCTAAACTCTTATCTATCTTTACATTTGCTTATTTATTTGATTATCATTCATTAAAGCTAGTTTTTATATTGAGTTTAATTTTGATTTATTTCTCTTTGCTTACACACACACAACTTATTGTATTTACATTCATAGTATATTTGGGTTGTGGGATTGTATCATTGAGAGTGAGCTTACATTGTGTTCTCATCTATTATAAAGAATAAATCATTTATTATATTATGAGATTGTAAGATTTTCGGTGAGCTAGAAAACCGAGTGTGTTGTTGTAAAGTTTTTGGTGAGCTAGAAAACCGAGTGAGAGTGTGAGGTATGAACGTTGATCGGTGAGCGCTGAAAACCGATATTGTGAGGTATAAACGTTATTCGGGTGAGCATAGAAAACCCGGTTGTGATAGTGGATTTCTCTCCGGGAGTGGGGAGCGGAGACGTAGGACGGAAGGTCCGAACTCCATAATCATTTGAGTGTGTTTGAGTTTGTCTTCGGCGCATTTGCTTATGTATTTATCTTATATCGCCAATTGCCTTTACTCTTGTATATTTTGCCCTATCACTATATCCTTGCATATATTTCATAGTATATCTCATTGCTAGGATGTATTCATTTGTTCATATTGCTTATCCTAGCTTACGTATCTTGTTGTATTTCATACTTGCTAGGATAACTTGTTTATTAATTTTAATTGGCATTTAATTGGATTAGATTAGCATAAGACCCTAATCACCCCCCCTCTAGGGTCTAACAATTGGTATCAGAGCTTGGTGCTCTTTGATTTAAGGTCTAATCGCCTTGAGTTAAAGATCCAAGTTATCTTTTTGTGCTAATCCAATTTTTAATTTTTATATCTTGCTTGCTTTTTATATTATGGATATGCATTGTTTAGAATATGCCATTAATATTGCTCCTAGATTAGATAATTTTTCCTATTCTCAATGGTGTGTTAGATTTAAACTTTTTGTTCAATCTAAACACTTTGATTTATGAGAAATTATAGATGATGCTTACATTGTGCTCACTTTGGAGAAATCCAAGTGGAATAAAAATGATCATCGAATGTTTACAATGAACAATATTTTGTTAGAATATTTGCTAAATGTTTTTAATTCATCTATGTCTAACAAGTTTGTTCATTTTGATAGTGCTTATACCTTATGAAAGTTTATTGAAGCACATCAAGGGAACTTGGAGGCGATCTAACAAGCTTTAGCGGATCCGGCTTCAAGTTCATATGGAGCATCATGCACACGACCACTAGGCGATAGCCCTAGTGAGGTTTGTGAGTTTGAAACCACTAATGATTTATCTAGTGATGAACTTGCTTGTGCTAATGAAAAATTATTGCATGCCTATAACTTATTGCATAAAAATTTTATTGATTTAAAAAGCAAGCACGAGGATTTGAAATCCGATCATGAGTTGTTAGCATCTAAGTTTGAAACTATTTCTAATGAAAATGTGATCCTTAAAGAAAACAATGAAAAATTAAAATTGGATCAAGTTTCTTTAACTTCAAATATTGCTAGTTTAACTCATGAAAGAGATAATACCATGTTAGAAGTAGAGAACATACAAAATAATACTGCTTCCTTTATAAATGACTATTTATGTTCTACTTCTAATAAAAATGCATATGTGCCTAAAAATAAACATTTGAATCTTATGAATAATCGCATTTTATCTTTAGATTCAACTTTAAAAACATGCATTAATAATCATAAGAGGCTTATGGATATGTGTGCCAAGTCTAAGTCATCATCCACTCATTATGCACACATATATAGCAAAGTTTACAAATACTCTAATTGCGGCCGAAAAAATCATTTAGCTAAATTTTGCTTTGATGCACACAAACATAAGAATTCTAATGCTCCTTGTGCATCTCATGTAGCTTCTTCATCTTGTACACTTACACATTCACATGCTCATTCTCACAAAGTTCATCATAAGCATGCTAGTGTGTTCAAGTATGATCTTTGTGGTCGTTTTGGTCACTTGGCAAAATATTGTTTTGATTTGAAAAAGAAATTTTATTTGCCAAATGTTTCTAGTAGACCATATATTTTTAAATGTGATGTTTGTGGTAGATTTGGCCATTAGGTGAAGTTTTGTTATGATTTGAAAAAATATTCAAACTTGCCAAATTTCTCAAGTAAACCACATTTGTTTAATAATGTTTCTCATTTGCAATATAATTTAAAAAAAAATTATTTATTTGCAAATGATTCTCATGCACGAGCTAATGGTCCATAAAAACAAATGGATCTCTTTCATGGCACAAATTGTAATCGGAATGGTCATTTGCAAGATTATTGTTTTGACCGTGCTAGTGTACCATATGCGCCCAAGAGGGTTCATAACCCTAGGGCTTTGAACTTAAATGATAGGGGTCATGTCCCTAAACTTTTTGGTACCAAAAATTCTTGGGTACCAAAACAAATTTGATTTTTAAACCAAGAATTTTAGTGTTTTTCTTTTTCTTTTTCTTGGTTTTAAAAATTATGCTTTGAAATCTTTGAATATGAAAATAATTTTTCTTTGATTAATTATTTTTTTTCATGACTATTAGTTTTGATTTTAAATGAGAGGTTTGTAGTTATATACCCTCCGGGTTTATTGGGTGATTATTTCCAAATCTTGTTTACTGGATGCTTAAATGTTTATATGGGTTATTACTAGATCAAGAGCTAGATATGGTCGCCTCTCATGATTTTTTTTGAATCAATGATGATTTGGTCTTACGTTTTTGGATTTAAACTTTGATTTATAATTTCTTTTGGTTGGTTTGTTTTCATTTGAAAACTTTTTGCATGATTCTCATGTTTCTCTTCTCTTGATTTCATAAATCTATTTTTATACATAATTTTTATGATGAGACAATATTCTTCATATTGATATATTTATATGTGTTCTCATTATCTTTTTATATGTGAGTAGTGTTTAACATCTATGCTTGCTCACATATATTTTTGCCTTAGCATTCATTTCATGTATCCTATGAGGCATTTTGATAGGGGAGCAATCCCTATATATATATTTTTTGTGTTATACTCACCCATGCATATTGATAGGGGGACCTTTCTCTCTCTTTATTCTTTTGTCCCCTTTTTGATGTTGTCAAAGGGGGAGAAATATTGTGAGTATATTCCTTCTTGTTTATATGCATGATATATTATACTTTGTATATTCATTTCCTTTCATGCATATATTCTTTTTGTAAATTGTTTGTCATCATCAAAAAGGAGGAGATTGTTGACCTTCTTATTTTGATGATGATTTACAAACAATTTATATCTAATATTATTTGTCTAGTGTTTGTGTTTTATATTTATTCTAGGCAAACAATATGTTGGAGGATGGATGGAATAGTGCTTCAACGACAATATCAAATGGAGGTTGGCGGAATTATGGAGTGAAGCTTATGCAATTCAAGTTCAAGATCCAAGTTCAGCTTTATCCGCATAGTGTACCAAGTCAAGCTTATTGAAGATCAAGATTGCTTGGGTATATTAGTTTAGATTTATATTATGTGTGTTCAATATTTTAAGGTTATATATATATACATAAATGTTTTTGGGTTTCCATGTTTATAAATATGAGATTACATATTTGTGTTTTAGAAAATATTGCATAGAATATGCATATTTGTGAAAATATTATGTTTCTAGTTTATAGACTTCATAACAACTTTTTATATCTTTTATTAAGTCTATAAGAACGTTTGAAAATGTTTCAAAGTTGTGTTTATGTCAAAACATCAAATTTTATGTATATCAACTTTTCATGTTATGGACATACTTACAAAATACATGAGTTCTCACAATTGGGAAATGCAATTTAAAATATTTCTTTGTTTACATATTTATCATCATATATACAAATATTTTCCCAAGTTTTACTATTTTTGGAGTTGTTTTGTTATTTTCAATTGAATATACAAAACCGTATTTTCTGCAGTTTTTTAGAAACTATTTATCTATGTTCAAATATTTATTTCTCTCAACTGGGAAGTTATTTTTTATAAATCCTTTCTCTAACATTTTTATATACATGTCTATAACCTTCTCTCAAAATTTCATGATTTTTGGAGTTTATTTACTATTTTTAATTGATTTTACAAAGTCAGATACGCAAAATTCCAGAATTATCAAAAACTGGAAACTGCTTGTGCATGTTTGCTACAGTGCGGTCGATCGCCACGGCCGACCGTGCTACAGTGTGGTCGACCATGGCGGTCGACCTTACATAGTCTAGAGTATAGTTTTTGTGTTTTTCTTCTTACGGTCGACCACGACAGTCGACCGCTAATGTTACTGTTGCACAGTAATGGTAACTTACTGATTTTTATCTTTTAGTGGTTTTTTAGGGTTTTGGGGATTGTTTTCTTCTACCCTATATATACCCAATTGTATTTATTATTTCATAGACAATGAAAAAGTTTTAAACAAGTTTAAGAGGGTTTTATAGTTTGTTTTAAGTTTGGGGTTTGTGTTTACAAAGGAGGTTTGTTTTAAGTTTGGGGTTTGTGTTTACAAAGGAGGAAGCTTATGTTGTCAATTGAGGGATTCATCATCAATCTTCTTCATCCTCTCCTTGTTGTCAATTGAGGGATTCATCATCAATCTTCTTCATCCTCTCCTTTGTGTTTATAGAGAAGTTTTCTAACCTCTTATTTAGCTTTACATTTGCTTAGTTATTTGATTATCATTCATTAAAGATAATTTTTATATTGAGTTTAGTTTTGATTTATTTCTCTTTGCTTACACACACACAACCATTGAGCTTATTGTATTTACATTCATAGTATATTTGGGTTGTGGGATTGTATCATTGAGAGTGAGCTTACATTGTGTTCTCATCTATTATAGAGAACAAATCATTTGTTATATTGTGAGATTGTAGGGTTTTCGGTGAGCTAGAAAACCGAGTGAGAGTGTGAGGTATGAACGTTGATCGGTGAGCATTGAAAACCAATATTGTGAGGTATAAACGTTATTCGGGTGAGCGTAAAAAACCCGGTTGTGATAGTGGATTTCTCCCCGGGAGTGGGGAGCGGAGACGTAGGACGAAAGGTCCGAACTCCGTGATCATTTGAGTGTGTTTGAGTTTGTCTTTGGCGCATTTGCTTATGTATTTATCTTATATCTCCAATTGCCTTTACTCTTGTATATTTTGCCCTATCACATTTGTAGTTTGATTATATCACCCTTGTGTTAGTTTATATATACTTGCATATATTTTTATCATATAGGATATATCTTATTGTTCGTATTACATATTCTTGCTCATATCATATTGTATATCTATCTTGCAAGAATAATATTTGAATTAGTTTTAATTGGCATAAAATCGGATTAGATTAGCATAAGACCCTAATCATCCCCCCTCTAGGGTCAGTTTTAATTGGCATAAAATCGGATTAGATTAGCATAAGACCCTAATCATCCCCCCTCTAGGGTCCAACAAGGTTTGTTTCACGTTCTTATCTTTATAAACAGCTTCTAAAGGCTATAAGTATCTCCCCTATCCAAGACTTGAGCTTTTGGCGAATTCTGAGAGCAAGAGAGAGAGTACGATCTATTTTTGACATCTCAAAGGCCTTCGGTGTTTCCCTTGATTTCAAATATTGATTTGATTTCGGGAATAGTATTTATCTTACTTGGTTTGGATATCTACTTCTGTTCTTATTTCTAAAATAAAACAATGACTTAAAGCCTTCTCCCACGATGAACCCGGATCGTTGAATCGGTGGTCCACGGATCAAAGCGTCTCCGGCACAGGCAAAGATCTAATGCAAGCAGCGACTAATAAATAATTTGTGTGTGTGTTTTTAGGGAATACCCCATTTTTTCTTTGTAAAGAGTAGTTTTATAAAAAGCTCACTCTTTTGTTTCCGTTGTAAATGATAAATGATTGTAATGGAAGCTGCAATAAAAATCATTCCCGACGCAAACAGTGAACTTGTTGGGTATTCATCAATTCATCAACCATCATCTTGAATAAATCATTTGACTCTTCAATTGCCACCATGATATGACTCAATTTTACTATAAGATATCACAATATCTTTTCTATAATTGTTAAATCTAAAAGCACTCTAGTTGCATAATTCTTGATGCTATTAGCAGATTCTATCTGCAAAAGTCCAAATTGGCATATTAAAGTTTGAAGTCTAACTTTTCCTCTTTTTTACCTCCATGATATGATTTCTCCAAAATATTCCATGCTTGTTTTTCCGTAGTTGCATCGTCTATCTTCTCAAAGACTGAATCATTCACTCATTGATAGATGTAGAATAATGCATTCCTATGCTTCTTCTTGTTCTCATAGTGGGTTTCATTCTTAGCTTCGTTCGCACACTCATAAGATCTGTAACTCCTTTCTCTATGACACCAAGTATATCTTGATATTCGAACACTAAGTTCATCTACACGCTCTATCGGTTATTATTTTTCCCATCGAATATGGGAATAGAAGGCGACGTAGTACTGTTCAGATTGTTCATCTGATACCACTGATAAAGCAAATACAAATTAATCATGAAATAAGGAACATACGGGGAGAAAAAGAAATGGAGAAGCCAATAAACAACGAAATTTGTTCTCTGTGATGGCTTGCTTCTATAGTACACGGATGAAGCCTTATATATCCTTTACAAATTAGTATTTCTATATAATATGAACTCTAATAAAGGATGAGAAAAAGTCTATTTTTAGCTAATTTGGTCCAACTACTAAAGATAAACAAACTCCTAAAACAAGATACACTCTTAAAGATAAAATAATTCATAAAGATAACTAAATCAAAATCAAAGTAGGATTTGGATTAACTTTAACGAGATAGACCCCACTAACTTTACTTTTAGGTAATATTTGCTGAAATTTGATCCAGCCTTAAATTGGTAAAAAAAAAAAATTCGCCGGCCAGAAGGTTTATCAACAAGAATTAAACTATGTAGATAATAAGTTCTAAAAGTGCGATACTACAACGTAAGGGTGCATTCTGTTAGGGATTTTATGGAGATTAATTTGTGAAATTAAACACTAAATGAATAATGGTACCAATAAAAATACCACAAGCAAGTAAACACCAAGATTTAATATGGTTCGACAAATCATTCCTACGTTCACGGGACAATCCAGAGAAAAATATTTCACTATGAATTAAGAGTATAATCCCTCCAAGTTACACCTAAACTTGAGGATTAAATCACAAGAGAAAGATACAATATTACCTCTTGGGCACCAAAACCCTAAATCTCATCTCACCAAAAATCTCCAACACCTACAGAGAAACCAACACCGTACCCTCAACGACGTCATCGCTCTGAAAACAGTGGCTTTTGAAACACTGTAATTAGATAATCAAACTATTCGAAATCTAAACTTCTCACTCTCTCCCCCTCTTTTTCTCTCTCGGGTTACTTTTCACGGTTTACTATAGCACTAAAAAAATTATAGGTTTCTCATGAATAGAATTTCTTTATAAAGGAATATTTTTTCAGGTCCTCCAAACCTATTCCTATGATAACTAGATCCTCCAAATCATCTTCTAGATAGAATTTTAATTCATGTGAACCTCATGTTAGCCTTATCTTGGAATAGACCCATAACAATCTGCCCTTCTAGCCCAACGAGGAGGTATGCCAATCTGTAACTCCTCAACGGGAGTTCATGCCTACCAATCACCGACACAACTCAGTCTTCTCTCTAAAAATAATCTTCGTTAAAAAATCTGCTAGATTTTTATCTGTGTGAATCTTCTATAGCTTTAGCCCTCTTTCTCAACAGCTTCTCTAAGACAATTATATCTCACATCAATGTGTTTCATCTTGGAGTGGAATGTAAAATTCTTGCTCAAATCAAGAGCACTTTGACTATCAATGAAGATTTGATAATTGTCCTACTGTAAGCCTAACTTCTGCAGAAATCTTCTCAACCAAATCATCTTCTTCCCAGTTCCTACAGCTGCAATATATTCCACCTCTGTTGTAGATAAAGCAATACACTTCAATAACTTGGATTGCCAAGATACTACTCCCCCTGCAAAAGTGAACAACCAACCTCAGGTGGACTTTCTGTGATCGAGATCACCTACCATATCCGCATCTGCAAAACTATATAGTATTGTCTTTGAACCTCCACAACTTAAACACAATCTGGAACTGCCTTTCAATTATTTTAAAATTCACTTTACACATTCCCAATGAATTTTTCTTGGATTAGAAAGAAACCTGCTCACAACGCCAACTGCATGAGCTATATCTGGCCGAGTGAAAACCATAACATTCATCAAACTCCCTACAACTGAAGCGTAAGGAATATTTTCTATCTCACTCTTTTTCTCATCTGTAGTCGGGCAAAATTTTTTGCTATGCTTCAAATGACCTGCAAGAGGAGCACTGACTGACTTGCATCTTTTTTGTTGAATCTATCAAGTAGCCGTTCAATATATTTCTCCTGTGATAACCACAACTTCCTAGCTTTCCTGTCACGAGCAATATCCATACCAAGAATCCGTTGTGCGGAGCCTAAATCCTTTACGTCAAAAGATTTAAATAACTCTTTCCTTAGTCCACTAATTATCTGACTATTCTGACCAACAATCAACATATCATCCACATAAAGCAAAAGGATAATAAAGCTAGAATCTAAAATTCTCCTGAAATATACACACGAATCTGTAACTATCATTTGGTAGCCATGACTCAACATGAAAGAATCAAATTTCTTGTACCTCTGCCTGTGTGCCTGCTTCAAACCATAGAGGCTCTTCTTCATCCTGTAAACCATGTGTTCTTTTCCCTTCACTTTAAAACCCTCCGGCTGCTCCATATAGATCTCCTCCTCCAAATCACCATGAAGGAATGCAGTCTTCACATCAAGTTGCTCAATCTTGAGGTCTAAACTACCTGCTAACCCCAAGATAATTCTAATGGACGTCATCTTCACAACCGGTAAAAAAATCTCATCAAAATCAATGCCTTTTTTCTGACCAAAGTCTTTCACCACTAATCTGGCTTTTTAATTATGAATCTCTTTGTAACCATCCTTCTTTAACTTGAACACCTACTTGTTCTTCAAAGTTTTTCTATCCTTCAGCAAATTCATCAAGTCATAAGTATCGTTCTTCTCAACATACTTCATCTCTTCCTTCATAGCCTGAAACTATCTGTCCTTATCTTTATGAGTATGTGCCTCCTGAAAGCTTTCTAACTCCCCCTCTTTTGTCAGTAAAGAATACTCCGAAAGAGGATATCTCTTGGATGGTTGATGCTCTCTAGCTGATCTCCTAAGTTGTAACTCTTTAAACTCATGTTGCTGGTGATGCTCCCACTGATGAGGAGCCTCCTGCTTGTGATCGTAATCACCGGTTTCCTACTCTGGTATCTGACCATCATCATCAATATCATCATCATGCACCTATTATATATTTGTAGGATGCAACTGTACTGGACACAAAATGATTGTTATATCTCGAATTTCACTAGCAACACTCTTTGACTGCTCTGCTCATCTGAGATCTGTAATAGTCTAATCCTCCTGAAAAATCACATCTGCTTGTCTGATAATTCATCTCTTTTATGGATCCCGTAGTTTGTAGCCGAATCATCTTCTCCATAACTAAGGAAGATGTAAGGAACCGCTTTATCATCAAGCTTCTGTTTCTTCTCCTTCGGAATGTGTGCAAACGCCTTACAACCAAACACATTCAGATGAGAATAGGAGATATCTTTTTCGGACCAAACTCTCTTTGGAATATCAAAACCCAAAGGAACTGAAGGAGACCTATTGATTATATAGCATGCAGTGTAAACAGCTTCAGCCCAGAAGCTCTTAGGTAACTTCGCCATCTTCAACATGCATCTTTCTCCACAATGGTCCTATTGTACCTCTCTATAACTTTATTATGCTACAGTGTGTCAGGATCTATCCTCTAATGTCTAATACCATGCTTGGAGCAATAATCTCTAAACTAAATGGAAGTGTACTCTCCTCCATTATCGATGCACAAACACTTCAAATTCTTTCTGTCTGCCTATCCACCATGGCATGAAACTGTTGGAAGACTAAAAATACCTGGTCCTTTATCCTCAATAAGAAGACCCACATCCTTCGCAATGCATCATCAATAAATATAAAAAAATACTTATTGCCACCTAAGGACTCTACCTCAATAGGACCACAAACATCAGAATAAATCAAATCTAGGATATTAACTTTTGTTTTAGAAGGCTTACTAAAAAAACTCTATGTTGTTTAACAAACAAACAATAATCACATGGGGTGAGTGATGAATCTTTGACAAAGGGAATGAGAGACTTCTTTCCCAATATCTACAACCCCTTCTCGCTCATGTGCCCGAGCCTCATATGCCACAAACTGAGAGTGTCACCGTCTTGAGCCACGCTCAAAGAATCATATGAAGCCTTTGCTTGATTCTTATATAAATTATAATATATACTTCCTCTAGCCACCATAAGAGAGCCTTTAGTAATTTTATATTTTTCTCCACCAAATTAAATTTCATATCCCATTCGGTCAAAAGTGAGACCGAAAATCAAGTTGAACCGTAAATTGAGAACATGCCGCATATTTTTGAAGATCAATATGCATCTGGTATCTGTCTGCAAGTGTATATCACCAAGTCTCACAATCTTCGAGTAGCTGGTATTGCCCATCTCTATATTACCAAAGTCACTTGCTTTATACGACTTGTAACATGCATACAGTTCTACAAATGAGAATAACATCAGTCTCAGATAAAGTAGCTAGAGTGTCAATATCAGCTTTCTTCTTCTCATCTTTCTTTTCATTTTTGTTCCTAGCTTGCTCTTTCTTCAATGCCCAACGATTCTTCTTGATATGATCTAGCTTCCAACAATAAAAATAACCACTCCCTTTAGACTTTAATCTGCCCTTTGATGTGCCACAATCTCTGGACTGGTCCATGTACCTGCTCCTACCCCTATACTCTGTGACAGGTTCCTATGAGTTATCTGTGCTGGTAGACTTCCTCCGAGTCTCCTCATTGAATAAACTACTATTAACCATACTCATCGATAACACACCATCTAGAGCTGCGTTGCTTACTATCACAACTAGTGTCTCCCAACTGTCTGGCAAAGAACCCAATAGCAATAAAACCTGTAGCTCATCATCAATAGTCATCTTCATGGTAGCTAACTGATTAATCAAACTCTTGAACTCATTCAAGTGCCCAGCTATGTTGCTTCCTTCTTGGAATTTTAAGTTCACCAACCGCCACATAATAAACATCTTGTTTCCCACGGTCTTTTGCTCATAGAGATCCTTAAGCTTCTTCTAAAGAGACTTAGCATTAGTCTTACCCGATACATGATGAAACACACTAATCTTGATCCACATCCGAATATAACAGATTTCCTTCCCATGTTATTGTTAGACCCTAGAGGGGGGTGGTTAGGGTCTTATGCTATTCTAATCTGATTTTATACCAATTAAAACTAATTAATAAGTTATCCTAGCAAGTATGAAATACAACAAGATATATGAGCTAGGATAAGCAATATGAACAACAAGAAATATCCTAGCAATGAGATATAAGCAATATATGTGCAAGGATATATAAACTAACACAAGGGTAAGAAATATGAACTAGATAGTGGATGATATAAATAATGAGCTATGGACAATGGCGACAAAAAATATTAAGTGCGCCAAAGCAAACTCAAACACACGATATGATCACGGAGTTCGGACCTTCCGTCCTACGTCTCTGCTCTTCACTCCCGGGGAGAAATCCACTATCACAACTGGGTTTTCTACGCTCACCCGAATAACGTTTACACCTAACAGTGTCAGTTTTTAACGCTCATCGATCAATGTATACAATCACTCATAATGTCGGTTTTCAACGTTCACCGATCAACGTTCACTCCTCACATTCGGTTTTTTAGTTCACCAAAAACTTCACAACAACACACTAGGTTTTCTAGCTCACCGAAAACCTAACAACACTCACAATATAACAAATATAAACTTGTTCTCTACAATAGATGAGAACTCAATTAAGCACAACTCAATGTTATAATCTCTCACAACCCTAATATACTATGTATGCAAATACAATAAGCTCAAGTAGGTGTGTGTAACAATGAGATAAAATCAAATCTAAACTCAATATAAAACTAGCTTTAATAGAAATGATAATCAACAAATAATTATAAATAAAAGCTAGAGTTGAGTTTAGGAAAACTTCTCTAGATGACAAGAGAGAGAGATGGATTGAATGCCCAAAATACAATTGATAATCTCCTCAAGCTCTTGTAGAACTTTCTTCATAAACCAAACCCTTAAACAAGCTTAAAACAAGCTTAAAATCTTTAAAACATTTTCTTGTTGTATGTAGAGCTGAAGGTAAAAGGGGGTATTTATACAAACCCCAAAGCCAAGAGAAAGCCAAGAAAAAGACCAAAAAACCACACTGCAACGGCTCTGGAAACTAGCCGTTGGAACTGATCTGACAGAGCGGCGGTCGACCGCGGCGATCGACCACGAGCAACAAAAAATTAACAGAAAACTCCAGAGAGTTCGATGGTCGACCGCGACGGTCGACCGCGAGAAATTCTCAGCTGACGATCGACCGTGGCGGTCAACCGCAAAAGTTTCTGCTACATACTATGCAAAAGACTTAGGCGTGATCGACCGTGACGGTCGACCGTGAACTGATACATGAAATACAAGTTTTAAAAACTGTTTGCTGATTTTAAAACACTGTTTAAAAATATCAAATAAATTCCAAAAAATATAAAACTTTAGGGAATGATTGTAGACATGATAATAAACATGCTACAATGACTAGTTTCCAAAAAGGACTTCTCAAATGAAAAATATCATCATTTAACAAAATAGGCCAAAACATAAAAATATAAACATGTGAATTTTGATATTTTGGCTAAACCATGTTTTGAAACTTGGCACAATAATTATGTAGACTTAATAAAATATGTATATGATTATTGTTAAGTCCAAAAACTAAGAATACAATATTTTTACAAATACAATAGAAAATGAAACATATGAGTATGTATATGAAAATATATTTGTTTCATATCTAAGTAGTTAAACCAAATCACAATAATAAATATGAAATATGTAATTTCATATTTGTAAACATGAAAACCCAAAACCATGCATGTATATATATAACTATATATATACATAGAAACCAAATACGTGTGTGTAAATGATATTGAGCTTAAGGTACTTAACACACATAATATAAACCCTAAACTAAATTACCCAAGCTAGCTCTTGATCTTCAATAAGCTCGACTTGGTACACTTGCAGATGAAGCTTGAACTTGGATCTTGAACTTGAATTGTACATAGCTTCACCTACTATTCCGCCAACCTCCATTTGATATTGTCGTTGAAGCGCTATTCCATCCATCCTCCAACTCGTTGTTTACCTAGAATAAATACGAAAACACAAACACTAGATAAACAACATTAGAAGTAAATTATTTGTTAAACATTATCAAAACAAGAAGGCCAACAGTTATTTCTCTCATTCTTTATCAGTCATCTTTTCTGGCTTGGCTTCATCCCCCATAATAGGGTCATGTAAATATTTACAATACATAATATCTTCCATGTTAGACTTCCATACTTGCCATTAGAACCAATCAATTTCATCATTATGCCAAAACTCTCCATCTTTTCCATCCCAAAGTATGCCTTGAATCAAGACTCTGATAACACTTGTTAGGAATTTTATGGAGATTAATCCACAGAGCTAAACACTAAACGAATAACGACACTAATGAAAATACCATAAGCAAGCAAATACCA